GGGCCTACTCCCTTTAGTTTAAAACCACTACCCCTTGTCCTATTGCAACAGGCCCTGCTAAAAAGTCTGTCCCCATCTTTCTTATAAGCCTCCTTTAAGTATTGAAAGGCCACAGTAAGGTCTCCCCAGAGCCTTCGCTTCTCCAGGCTGAAGAACCTGAACTCTCTCAGATTTTCCTCATAGGAGAGGTGTTCCATCCCTCTGATCATTTTTGCAGCCCTCCTCTGGACCTGCTCTAACAGGTCCATGTCTTGTGCTGAGGACTCCAAAGCTGGATGCAGTACTCCAGGTGGGGTCTCACCAGAGCAGAGTAGAGAGGCAGAATCACCTCCCTTGACCTGTTGGCATATAATTGATTGTTACTGTATTGTTTGACTGATTTGATTATCAGTCAAGGTATAGTATTACCTTTAAGAAAAAGTTTTCTACCAAACCGTAAGTTCAGGTGTTACTGTTCAGTCTAATGTGTGAAGTTTACATCCTACTCCTCTCCTCTCTCCTCTTCTCGGTTGTGTTAGAGCTTCATTGCTGCTTCTCATATGTAGCTCTGGCACTAATTGGACTCTAGTTTCTAGATGTAGGATTAAGATATTTTTAATTTATCACTGCACTTCCAACAAGTTCATTCACTTGCTTTCCAGTTAGTCTTGGTGTTTATTGGTTAAAATTATGGTCTTTTTCTATCTTTAATACTACACAAAAGTGTTTTTATTACTAATAGGTCAGATTAAGGCTTTCCGATGTACGAAGTGCAAATTACAGACACAGGGCTTTCTCCCTGGTCATTCCTTGCACCAATATTTTCCCAGTATTTCCCAGCATTGAAAGCTCAACCAGTCTTTCTGGAAGAGGAAATCAGTCATGTCTCTTCAGCCAGAACTCTGCTTTAACCTTCCCATGGTAAGAGCTGAACTGAGGACTCCAGCTGTCTTGCTGCTGACTGAGAATAAGGGCTTGTGCGTGTGAAAGACCTCTTTACTGTTCGGTGGCCAAGGAGTATGAACCTTATTTCCAGAAGAAACCAGAGGGACCACAAACTTCTGAGCAAAGTGTCAGATATACTTTTTTGGCCCCAAGTTCTTTTGGCCTCGAGCTCGGTGGATAGAGTCTTGAAAGGCATGTAGACCTGCAGTAACAAAAAGGTGGATGAAATCAGGACTGTCATAATTATTCCACAAAAAATGTATGATCATGGCAACAATTAAAATATCTCAAATATTTACACAGTGTTAAAAGGGGTTAAAAGAACTTACTGTTTTCTCTTGTGTCCTGGTTTCTGCTGAGATAGAGTTAATTTTCTTCCTAGTAGCTGGTATAGTGCTGTGTTTTGGATTTAGCATGAGAATAATGTGATAACACACTGATGTCTTTGTTGTTGCTAAGCAGTGTTTATACTAAGTCAAGGACTTTTCAGCTTCCCATACTCTGCCAGTGAGGAGGTGCACAAGAAGCTGGGAGGGGGCACAGCCAGGACAGCTGACCCAAACTGGCCAAAGGGATATTCCATACCATATGATATCATGCTCAGTATACAAGCTGGGGGGAGTTGGCTGGGGGGGCAGTGGTCGCCGCTCAGGGGCTGACTGGGCGTCGGTTGGCAGACAGTGAGCAGTTGCATCACCTCTTGGTTTTATGTTTGGGTTTTTTTCCTGCTTCCTGGATTTTGTTCCTCTCTCTCTCTCTCTCTCT